TCTTTATAACAAAATAAATTGTTTCAAAAAATACAAAATTTATGACTGATCAAGTTCGTTTATCTCTATTAATATTACCCGTTGAACTTATCTATTCGATTTTGGACTATCTTGATATTCGCACAATTTTTTTTTCACTTCGTAATGTTTGTCCACAACTTGAAATGATCATCGATACGTATCCTCCATATAAGGTAAATTTCAATATATTCATGATTGCTAATTCATTTTCAGAATAGTAGTAGTAGTAGTTTGTTGATAATATTTTATAATAACGATCTATTATGAAAAAGGATATGGAAAAGAATCCTTCATATGAATTAACTCCAAGATCATAGAAACTGCCTTGTTAATATTCATGAGTTCTCCATTTGTTCAATATTGACAACTTAAACATATTAGAGAATCCAGATTGACAAACATGTTCTAACAGATTCGATTTGACTCATTCGATTGCATTAAAAAAAACCATATTAGTATTTTTTTCAATTATTACTTACACTTCTATGAAAAATCATAAGATGGATGTGGGTGTGAGGATTTGTGTCTCTTCATGACCCACACCCACCCCAAGATAAAAAATGACCTTACCATCACTGATTCATTATCGTGTATGAACATTGATACGAATACTTTCGAAAATTTCTTCTACGTTTATGCAGAATTGAAAAACCGTTTTGTTCGAAAACATTATTTTGCTCATTTATTTTTTTTCTTTTTCGGTCTAACTACGTTTTACTATTTGAACTATTCTCATACATATTCAATAATCATATTTTTCTCGGGAATGAAAATTAGAAGATGCCGATCCTTTTTTCGTGTTCAAATTGTGTAATGAGCACTTTTCATTGCAAAAATATTCATAGACATACACACAGAAAACTTTATTTTTCTTTTAAAAAATACAGAATTTAATTCTGTTCGTAAATATTAATTTCTTGTTATTCGATTCGATTTTACTCTCTTTTGTGTGCCAGCATCATGACACGGAAAGCATTCCGAACTGATTCCACATATGAAAAAGCAAAAACGACTTTTTTTATGTATCCCAAAATATTAAATTTTCAACAACAGTAAGTTTCCACAGTACAAAGTTCTACACTCTCTATCAATTATGGGTCGTTGGTCGTCACTATCAGTCTTTATTTCCGTATTAGTAGGAATAAACAAATTAGACTTTCTCTTCTTTATGATTCATTTCATTTTACGATAGTATCAATTATATTTTTTCGTATAGACACTTACCGATCTTAATATTCTTAATTGGAATATTTCACTCGACGAAATACAATATCTAACTAAAACGTTACGGAATAACACGGTAAGCATCATTGTCTCTTAATCAATATCATATCACCATCTAGGCTTTTACATACAGAATTTTACTACACTCAAACTTCAATACATTCAAATGAAAAACATAGGAGCAAAATATCTGGCTGATGCATTACAATATAATACGGTGACCATAATTCTCTATGTATCTCTTTCACATACTAATCTATCTTTATTTCATACAGGCACTCACCGAAGTTGATATCTACAAATGCGAAATTTTAGAAAAAGGATTACAATATCTGACTGATGCATTAAAATATAACAAAGTGATTCTGGCTCCTTCTTTATCTTTTCCATATACTAATCTAACTTTCTTGATATAGACACTCACTACATTCAAGCTCTCTGGGAACGACATAATTCATGGTCATCGGTTAAAATATCTGGCTGATGCGTTACGGAATAACACGGTGAGCATTATTTTCTCTTATTCTGTTTCATATCCTCACATATATTTATTCACACAGACACTGATCACACTAAATCTCTCATGGAATTCATTTGGGCTTCGTGGTGCACGGTATCTAGCTAATGGATTACGGAATAACATGGTGAGCTTCATTAATTATTAATTGGTATCATATCCACATCTGCATTTTGCTTCACAGACACTCGCTACACTTAAGTTTGCCGGCAACCGTATTTCAGACAAAGGAGCAACATACATTGCTGAAGCACTATTAGAGAACAACACGGTAATTCTCATTCTTTTTTTTCTATCTTGCCCATATAACAGTCTACCTTTTTTTTTACTATAGGCACTTACCACACTCGATCTTTCAGGCAACGATATCAATGCTGATGGAGGACAAACTCTGGCACGTGCAATAAGAAATAATATGGTGAGCCTCATTCTACCTTAGTTTTTCTCATAATTACATCTGCACTTATTAAAATAGACATTGAAACATCTGAAACTCACGTATAATCACATCAACGGTTTAGGAATACAAGAATTCGCCTATGTATTACAAAATAATACGGTGAGTCACATGTTCTGTTTATTCCACTTATCTACTCATCTCACCTTTCTCACTCAGACACTCATCAAACTCGATCTTGACATGAATAAAATCGGAGATGATGGAGTGCAACATCTAGCTCATGCATTACGAAATAATTCTGTAAGTCACATATTTTGTTTATTTCTCTTATCTAGTCTGTGCCGATATATACGTCACGGCTCACTACTCTTCCTCTTTCCTCTTCCTCGCTCTATTCTTCTCTCTATGTTGTCTCTCTCCCTTTGTTTCTGTATCATATATAAGCGTGTGTTGAGTGTGCAATAGACACACTCTGGATATGTGAAGTAGCTGAATAAACATCATTTCCGAGGGTGGCGGTAAGCTACTCAATCCAGTTTGTCGTGACATAGTCATCTGCAATTTCTCACATAGACACTCACCATATTAAATCTCGGTCGAAATTCAATCACATATCGTGGAGCACAACATCTTGCTGATGCATTAAGAAATAACAAGGTGAGCATAATTCTCTGTTAATCTCTCTCTCTTAGACCTACCTAAACTTTCTCACACAGACACTCATCGAACTCGATCTCGTGGTGAATGAAATCGGAGATAATGGAGTGCAACATCTAGCTCATGCATTACAAAATAATTCTGTGAGTCACATATTTTGTTTATTTTTCTTATTTAGTCATCTGTAATTTTTCACATAGACACTCACCACATTAAATCTCTATCGAAATTCAATCACATATCGTGGAGTACAACATCTTGCTGATGCATTAAAAAATAACAAGGTGAGCATAATTCTCTCTTAATCTCTCTCTCTCTCTGTTAGCCCTACTTAAACTTTCTCATACAGACACTCATGGTACTCGATCTCCAGGTAAATGCACTAGAAGATTATGGAGCACAACATCTAGCTAATGCATTACGAAATAACTCGGTGAGCCACATATTACATTTATCTCTTTTTATCGACTGATAATCAATTTCTCATACAGACACTCACCACATTACATCTGCAAGGAACTTCGATCAGAAATGTTGGAGCACAACTTCTTGCTGATGCATTACAAAATAACAAGGTGAACATTATTGCCTCTTAATCTGTTTCATATCATCATCCGCACTTTTTCTTTTAGACACTCACCACACTAAATATCTACGACCATAGCATCGAGCCGGTGCTCCAACATCGTTTGGAAGAACTAATCGAGCGTAACAAAAGACGAAGAAAATCATGAACATCTATAATCATTCTTGTTTGGTGAACTACGGAATAGATTCTTTAAATATTTGTGTATCTGTTTTATTATACTTTGGTTGTGAAAAAGAAAATAAACAATTTTGGTTTTTGTATTTCATTCACTTGACAAGAATGACTTATAATTAGAATTTCTGATTTTCAAAGAATGAATACACGTGAATGCCTACTAGTGATTGACTAGTGAATATATGCTTTTGTGAACCGAAATATACAATATTAAAGCTCGATAATAAGCATGTCGTAAGAGTAAAATGTTTATTGAAAATGATTCTACTGATGTGAATGTTATATGAGTTTTTATTCTTCAGATATTGTCGATTATGTTTAAAGACCGTGGAGTTCGAGTCTAAAACTTTTGGGACTCCCTGGACTCTAGTGGTGTTATACATCGAACACGACAGGTCGTTTGATTTTTTAGAAAATACTGATGTGTTGAATGATCAGTAAGTGACGAAAGGTTTTTTCAAAACAAATGGAATTGTTTGATTCTTGATACATCAAACTATCACTTGAAAGTACTCATGTGAAATATGATCCATAACATTCATGGTATCAAGAATTTATGCAGGAGTTTTCTCTTAAAGGAAGCATTCCATGTTGAAATTGTATACAAACGTATATGTCTATGTCAGAAAAGACTTTTTTGAAATTAATACACGCTTTTAGTACTTGATATTCGTTTTCATAATGAACTATGTCAACGAAGATGGATGTATTTTCGAACGAGTAGGTATGGACATAGATACAATATTCACAAAATATTCAAAATCATAAATGTTGATGGATCTCTTCAATACATGTTATATGTAGATTAGTTTACAAGAAAGATTTTTAAACGTACGAATAGAATCTATTTGGATCATTAGAATTAATTGAGTTTTAAGATCAGATGTAATTTTATAATGGCTCACTGTTCAGTTTTTCGCACTGTATTTTAAAATATAAGTTATAGAAGTTCCACGAAAATACAAAACAATGGGTTCTTTTTTATAAAAACTACTTCGGAGGGTTTTGTTATAATGTATCGTTTCAATTTCATTTGAAGAGAGTGTGGGTGAGGATCTTCTATTCTCTTACAATCCACACTCACACCCTTTAGAGAGATATAATTAGAGGTGTAAGCCGAGGGGCTGAACGGCGGCGGCGGGCAACAGTTCTCAATTTTTGACCAGCGGCGACGGCTACTGGTTTCAATTTGTAAGCTCTACAGCGGTGGCGGCTGGGTGTAGGTGTGGGTGTAACGATTTAGATGATCTACACCCACACCCACACCCAAATTTAAAAAATATAATTTAGATGCACTTTTTATTCTTACGCATGCGTAAGTTTCTTTCTGTTTCATGAATTTAAAAAAATTTTTTAATAAATATATTTAGTTTTTTTAAAGTCCTAGTCAGTCAGCTTATAATATAGTTGAACGCCGTATGGCACCATTATCTCATGATTTAGCTGGTCTTATTTTACCACATGATCATTTTGGTTCACATTTAAATGAATCAGGTGTAACAATAAATATTGAATTAGAAAAATTAAATTTTCGTAAAGCTAGATAAATCTTAGCTAAAAGATGGAATCAATCAGTTATTGATGGATTTCCATGTGTTGCTGAATATATTAATCTAGCAGCTACAACAGATGATGCCCGTCGACAAATTGATGTTAAAATTGTTATACATGAACTTTTACGAAAATTAGTTTTATTTTTTTATTTTCAACAAATAGAATATGTGCTGGAGAAGAAGCAAAAGCAGGACATGAATTTCGTGTTCGTGCATCAAATGAATATTATCAAGAAAATGCTCGTGTACCACAAGAAAAATTTGGTGAACAACCTAAATATGATATTGATGAATATTGGCGTGCTATACATGTTTTATAAACACAATATACATTACAAATAATTCGTTGTAATTCAATTGAATGTTGTGGATCATGGCGTTCAAATTATAATGAAGTATTTCCTCATCGATTTTTACCAGCACCTGTACCATTTGAACGTACACCATATGGTATTAGAATGGCAGAAAGAGATTATTAAAGAGGACAATTCTATGGATCATTATTTCAACGAATTCAATATCATGGTGTTATTATTCAACATACACAGGTTAGAAAAAACAAAAATTTTATTCGCATTTCTGATCATGTCTACCAGCCTCTGGCACCTTAATAACAATATTTTTTTATTGCTAACATGATGAAAAGCCGTGGGTATTAAATCCACATATCGTACATTCATATAGACTAATAAAAAAAAGAAAGAATTATAATAGAAATAATATCCAACGGTTGAAGTAGAAGACGCCTCTTATTCGATTTAATGTTGATCATTCCAATCTATAAATAGTTTCGATCAGTAGGTCGACTAAATATGTTTTGCTCTTAGTTTATTCACTCAAGTGATAAGTGTGAAAGAGAAAAAACGATAAGCAGAGCTACTTATACATAACGCAGATTATTCCACTCATTGCTAGCCATGAGGGTGTGGGTGTGGGTGTCAGTGTAGATATTCTATTAACCCGCACCCACACCCACACACACACCCACCCCACCCACACCCACACCCACCCCACCCACACCCACCCCACCCACACCCACACCCACCCCACCCCACCCACACCCACACCCAACCCACCCCACCCACATCCACCCCACCCACACCCACACCCACACCCAGTTTTTCGAAATATATTTATTCGATGCAGCACGAAAAACTGCATCGA